AGCCAGCTTTTTCACTCTCCTCTTTCACCTTCATCAAGAGGCTCCTTAGTTTCTCTTTGCTTTCTGCCATTAGGGTAGTGTCATCTGCATATCTGAGGTTACTGATATTTCTCCTGGCAATCTTGATTCCAGCTTGTGTTTCATCTCACCCAGCATTTTGCATGATGTACTCTGCATATAAATTAAAAAAGCACGGTGACAATATACAGCCTGATATACTCCTTTTCCTATTTGGAACCACTCTGTTGTTCCATGTCTGGTTCTAACTGTTGCTTCTTGACCTGCATACAAGTTTCTCAGTAGGCAGGTACGGTGGTCTGGTATTTCCTTCTCTTGAAGAATTTTTCACAGATTGTTGTGATCCACACAGTCAAGTGCTTTAGTGTAGTCAATGAAGCAGAAGTAGATGGTTTTCTGTAATTTTCTTGCTTTTTCTGTGATCCAGTGGATGTTGGCAATTTGATCTCTGGTTCCTCTGACTTTTCTAAACCCAGCTTGAACATCTGCAAATTCTCGGGTAATGTACTGTTGAAGCCTAGCTTGGAGGATTTTGAGCATGATCTTGCTAGCATGTGAAACTAGTGCAATTGTGTGGTAGTTTGAACATTCTTTGGCATTACTCTTCTTTGGGATTGGAATGAAAACTGACCTTTTCCAGTCCTGTGGTCATTGCTGAGTTTTCCAAATTTGCTGGCATATTGAGTGCAGCACTTTAACCAGCATCATCTTTTAGGATTTGAAACAGCTTAGCTGGAATTCCATCACCTCCACTAGCTTTGTTTCTAGTGATGCTTCCTAAGGCCCACTTAACTTTGCATTCCAGGTTGCCTGGCTCTCGGTGAGTGATCACACCATCATGGTTATCCGGGTCATTGAGATCTCTTTTGTATAACCTTATTTAAATCTGATGACTATCCTGAGTTAGGAAATATTCTTCTGTTCATTTACAGGCCAGGAAACCCAGGCTGCGAAGAGTGAGGAATTTGGCCTAGTTGCTGGCTCTTGGCACTGGAAGTCTACCTTGAGTATAGCATCTGATTCCAGAGTCTGTGTTCTCACCATTATGATTATAATTAGTTACAACTTTAGTCCATTTTTTGTGGCTTCCTTGGTGGCTCAGATGGTAAACAAACTGCCTGCCATGCAAGAGACCTGGGTTTGATGGCTGGGTGGGGAAGATCCCTTGGGGAAGGGAATGGCAGCCCACTCCAGTATTCTGCCTGGAGAATTCCATGGACAGAGGAGCCTGGCAGGCTATACAGTCCATGGGGTTGCAAAGAATAAGAGGCAACTGAATAGGCACACACATTAGTCCATTTAATTGTATATAAGTTGACAATTTTACCAGCAAAATTATTGCTTGTAGTACATTAATTTGTCTTTTAGCTTATGTGAAAGAAAGTGCACTTGAAGCATAGGCTTTCTTGTTCCCTGTTTTTTTTCCCCTTTTTTTGTTAAATTTCCTTCCCCATCAGCAACATAGGGTCCATCTTCCTATTTGATGCATTAGTGACCAAGGACCTCTCACTGCTAGGAATGGAACTGGAACAGCTAAATGTTTTAAATCTTAAGCTATAATTATACACATTAATCATATAAAAAGCCATGCATAACCTATGACTTTTGAGGTATATCTGAAAATGCAACTGCACTGTTTAAATTGTGACCCAAGAAAATGTCACTGCGGAGGGTGTTTCCTGTGTAGGTAAATGTTGTTGAAAGAAATATAGCACCAAGCTTTCTTGTCTATGTAGCTGTGTATATAATCCTTTTATTGCTTTCCTAAGACAGCAGCTCTTGTCTCAGGCTTTTTCACTATTCTTCCCTCTTAGCTCACAACCAGCTCCATGTACCCTCTACCCCCACTCACAAATTGGGCTCGTGTACCTCTGATGGTACTCATGACACCTCTGATGGTGTCATCTTATCAGCATAAGTCTTTCTCTCCTGTGGTGGTAGTTTAGTTACTCAGTCGTGTCTGATTCTTTGGGACCCATAGACTGTACCCTGCCAGGTTCCTCTGTCCATGGGATTCTCCCAGCAAGAATACTGGAGTGGGTTGCCATATCCTTCTCCAGGGGATCTTCCTGACGCAGTGATCGAACCCGAGGACACGTGTCTCCTGCAATTGGCAGTAGGGTTCTTTACCGCTGAGCCACCATGGAAGCCCTTTCCTCCTATGCTGGTTGACAATTGTTTTGCTGATACTTCTGCTTATTATCTTAACCCTTCTCTAGTTCACCGGTCAGTCTGGTGAATTTCTTTAGTTCACCCGAAGATGATAGTCTACATCTTCCAGTCTCATCACATGGTCAGCTCACTAGTAGATTCAAGATAAGCTCAGCCTCGGTCTGGGAACTGAATGCTTTCATCTAATACGACACAGTGTTTTGTCACTTGATGATGGCTTCCCAGACAACTATAATGTATTTCTTTTTTGCTGTTTGTTTTTATATTTCTTTTTGTGCAGAGTAGACGTCTCCAAAATTTTTGATCATTCATTACCATCAGCATATTTTGGGGGAGCAATTATTAACCAAATATATCTATATTTATTTATAAAGTATATACATATGCTACCAGCATTAGCTAATAACTCAATTATAATATATGTTCAGGATGAAATTCATTGTTAATGACAGTGGATATAAATCCACATTCAGAATCTTCTTGATGAGTTTGGTATTTTTCAAGCCAAAATTTGGTTGAATATTTTGTATTAATTTTGAAATGTGGCTACCAAAAAACCTGATACTAGAAGATGTGTCAGTTCTGCCATTTGCTTGTTTTCCTGAGGTTTCATTGCAAAGAACACTGTAAAGCAACTAGGATATTTTCTATGGATTAGTTAGGAAATGACAACCCACTCCACTATTCTTGCCTGGGAAATCCCATGGACAGAGGCAGGCTATAGTCCTTAGGGTCACAACGAGTCAGACATGACTGAGCAGCTGAGCTCAATCATGAGTTTCATTAAACCTAGGTAATATATTCAGTAACTTCTCTTAACTGAACCAACCAAACTGGAATAAGTCACTACATGTTGACAGAGATTGACTGAGTGGGACTACCACTGCAAACCGCTGAAAATGGATAACTCCCACTTTTCCTTGAGGACATCTCCTGTGCTGTTCTAGGCCAAGAGATCATTCCATTGACTGGGTGCAGGATCACTCATTATATATATCCAATATTATGTAGAATATTATTTTCTTTTTTGATTAGAACTAGGCATAAAGAGATGTCCCCATACTTTTTTCTCCTGCAACCCAAATGAACTGGGTTGACTTTATTTATTTATTTTTACCAGGGAAGTCTTGGGTTGACTTTAAAAATAGTCACAACCTAAAAGTTGAGAGTTATATTTTATTTGGTGGGAATTTTTAGGACTTTTAAGCCCAGGGAAACAGCATCTCAAGTGACCCTGAGAGAACTGCTCCGAGGGTGGGGGGGAGGAGTCAGGTTATATAGAATTTTCCAACAATAAGCAGGTGGTTTAAACATCAAAAGATTATTGTTAATTAAGGAAAACCAGAGTTTCTCATGAGTTTGAGTAAACTCTGGGAGTTGGTGATGGACAGGGAGGCCTGGAGTGCTGCAGTCCATGGGGTGACAAAGAGTCAGACAAGACTGAGCGACTGACCTGGACTGAACTGAAGATATCTCAAGTTAAGGAATTTAATGCTTTTCTATATATGGGAAGATGGAAGAGTCTGGGTTCACTGAAATCACTTCTTCCATTTGCATCTCAGCTATCTGGGGCCAGTATCCTGCATGTTTTGCATCTTCCCGCCCCCCCACACCCCCATCTACCCCTGCCCCCAACAGCTCCTCAATGCTCATCTAGGGAACCACTGCAGCCTGAGAGCTTCCTGGGGGCCCTCCTGGCTCAGAAATTCACATTTGGAGGGCCAAAATCACTAATGGTTGTGACTCCTTGTTTACTGATACGGCAGGAAACACTCCATTTCTCAACTGCTTTGTACTTTTCTGGAATATACATACCCCTTGGATGCGTGGACCTCCTGTAGAAAGTATCAGTTCAAGGAACAATCTCTCACACAGGCAAGAATTTTTCCATTTAAAAAGACGTACTCATTTCAGTTACTCAGCCATTTTATAGAAAGTGAAAGAATTTTGAAATGAATTGTCTTTATAGAGATCCGTAATTTGCAAGCAAAATCCCCACTCTACAAAATGTGAAATATTTCTAAGCAACAGCTGTGAGCATTTCAAACAAGCATACTCTTTGACAGTTCAATTGTTGCCAAGGGAAACTGAGTTGGTTTTAAAATCTTCCCTGGTTTAAATTCTGCATTTACCCTTAATCAGAAATTGAGCAAAGAAGTACTGCATGGCTGGGACACTGAATTTTTCATGAAGACTGGTACGGGAAATTGAGATGTGGAAATGCAAGTTTCTTGAAGGTGGGAGGAAGACTGGTATTCTAGCCAGTTTTATAATGCTTAGGGGAGATGGAACTTTTCAGCGCAAACACAGACACTATGTATAGCGGCCAATCATCTGGAGCCAGTAGGGGAAGCCTGCTTCCATCTAAGAGCACCAACTTTTTCGGCTTCTTATATCACTTACAATTTCTTTTAATGACAAATTTTTTTCATTCAAGACTCATTTCTGGGGATGTGCATAGAAATTTGCAACACTTGAGTGTTAAACACCACAAGAGAAATAAAAGCATTTTTTTTTTCCCCTGCTGTCAGTTGTATGCATGCTTCTTTTTTTTTCATTTTCCAAGTTTTGAACATTTGGTACCTTGGCATTTGTACATAAGAATTTTTTTTTTTTCACCCTCTCAAAAGACAAATGTAGCATGCACTCGAATAGAGCAACGGTTCAAGAATATTCTCTGGTAATGCACCACTTGGCCTGTTGTTCAGTCACTCGGTCGTGTCCGACTCCTTGCGACCCCATGGACTTCACCACTTGGCCTAGGGCTCACCAAGAATGCAACCATGCCTTTAAATATTTAATCACTTGTTCTAGCCAGAGTTAAGTGAAGCCTTCACCACAAACTCTTTCGGATCCAAGTTGCCAATTAAAAGCTCCCAAACTCCCACAGTTTGGAGCTGGGTTTCCCTGAGTTCTGTGCAGCGGGTGAGCCCAAGCGGCTGTTCTCGGTAAATGATCTCGAGGCTTAGAGACAGCGTTCCCACCTGCGCCCGCCACACCGACCTGGCCCCAACCAGGCTTGCAGCAGCTCCAGGGAGCTGACATTCAAAACAGAGGTTCAGGAAAAAGGAGACGAGGACGAGTGAGAATTCGAAGCGATATCCAACGCTTGGCCGGGCCCCAGAGGTTCGGATTTCGGTGCCAGGCCTCCCACAAGGTGGAGCGGTGAGCGACTGCTGGCGGTTTACGGCCGCGAGGCGCGAAGGGCCCATTTACATGAGCAGCGGCGCTGGTTCCCGTCGCGAGTGGGCTATTCGAGCCCAGACGGTCCAGTCTCGCAGCTGAAAGGGGCGGAATCGAGGGCCGGATTACCCGACCCTTGCCCTCGGAATCCTCAAGTTGCAGACGACCACCGCCCAGAGGTTCCGCACTGCACGGAAATCCTTCGTATTTATGTCAGCTGCACACGTCCTGAGCTTTAGCAGCTCCAGTTAGGCCTAGTCGCTGAAGCAGTTCTCTTCCTCAGCCTACCCTACCGCTTGGCGGAAGCGGCGGCCGCGCGCCCGGAGAACGCGGCTGCATCCGGGTTCCTCTCGCCTTAGTCCAATCCTCGGTCTCCTCTCTTCCCACCCTCCTGTTTCTCCGCCCCCCCGCCGCCAATCCGCGATCGGCTCTCAGCCGAACTTGCTGACAGGGGAGTGAAGGCTAACGCCGACCAATGAGGCCTCGCTTCCCGTTTGAAGTCTCCAGTGAGTGGGCGCCGGAGGCGGGCGCTGTTGGCGAGAAGGTTCGGTTGCGCGTGTGCCATGGACTCAGCCGCCCGGTGATATTGACAATAGGAGAGAGAAAGGGGCATTGACGGGGACCCACCGCGGGTACCGAACGGCGGCTCTGGCAGCGGCGGCTCCAGCCCCAGCGACTCCTCCTCTTTCTCCTTCCTTCTCCTGGTGCCGCTGCGGCTTCAGTCTTCCTCACTCCCTTCCCCCCTCCCCGCGTCGTCGCTTCTGCCGCCGGGTCCGAGGCAACGAGCAGAGGCGCCGCCCGCCGGGAATGTGAGCGAGGAGCCACCGGCGGAGCCGCAACGGGGTCGGTGCCGATTTGATGGGACGGGCCCGCGGGGGAGGATCGTGAGGCCGCCGCCGCCGCCACCGCCGGAGCGCTGAGGTCCAGGTCCGGCTGTGAGGCCTAGAGGCGCCGCCGCCGCGGAACCGGAGGGACGCCGCGCCGGACAGCCGTCGCCCCGGGCTCCCTGCCGCTGTCCGGACCTCCCCCTGCACGTCCCAGTCCCGCCACCCGCCCCCGCTGCGGCCCTCTCTCCCGTCTCCCGCCCCTCCGAAACCACAGATCATCTTTGGATTCTTCTCCAGAAGCTTCAAGGTAACTTCGTCCCTCCAGCCCCGCGGCTTGTCTGCTTTCCCTTTCTCCTTGCTTGCCTCTTCCCCGTCCTCCTGGAGAACCCGCAGGGCACCGGCCTCGGGAAAGGCCTGGCCCGAGCTGGCGAGGGGTGCGGTGGGATGAGGTGCGGGAGAGGGAGCGCCGGTCCCACTTGTCTGATTTACCTGCAATTGCTTCTGATGTTGTCTCTCTTTCTGTTGGCCCCCTCCCCCCGCCTTTTTCTCCACCTTCCGGCACTGGAGGCGTATTCTTGTCCCCCTTTATCCACTGACGGAGGCGGAGGGGGGAGGAAAGGGGGATTGGTGTAGTGAGAAGGATTCTGTAGCAGCTTAGCTTCTCCAGGGCTTGGGGTGGTGGGGGGATGGGGTGGGTGGGAGCAAAGGGAGTGTGTGAGCATCCCTACAGACCAACCCCTTGTCTGTCTTTCTCCTCCACCCCAGCACCCACTTTGGATTATCCTGAGCCTTGGAAATGCCCCGTGCCCGCTGCTCAGAGGATGATAAAGCTTGGGCGCCCTAGTCCGGGGCGAAACCTGTTTCCCCGGGCTTTGCACCGACCCGCTGCTACTGCACGTTCAGTTCTGCAGCGCTTTAGGGTTGAGATCCTTGACGTTTATCCTGGGCCGCGGGCATAAGGGTCAAGTGATTAAAAAAAAATTTTTTTTTTTTTTTTTTTACTACCAGTAACTTATCTCTAAGATGAGACGTGAAGAATAAAGGGGAGACAAAACGAGTGATGGAGGAACAGGATTTACGGAAATTTTGTGTTGTGAGGGTTACATGTAATCTAAATAACTCCCATACCAGATTGGAAAAACTGCCCCTAAATTTACAACATACAGATGTGATGTGGAGCTTGTTGTAGATGCAGTCATTATGAAAATTTAATTTTAAGTGATATTACTTCTCCTACAGTCATTCATGCTTTGCAATTATCTATCGCATTGTATTTGAGGCTAAATTAGGTAGATTGCTAAAAAACTTTTTTTTTTTAAAAAAGAGAGCCAGACGGGACTTCAGCATCCCAAACCTCAGCAGTATAAGGTTTTGTTTGTTCTTGGTTTCTGTTTTTGTTATTTTTGCTCTGTCAGAATCCAGCTAATCCAGGTAACTTTTTATTCTCACACGTTCAGGAAGAAACTCCCTTACTCTTTTATTTAGAGGTTAAAAACCGCTCGGGTTATGTAGGGATGACAGGTGAGTGATTGCATTTCAGCATTTCCACTATGTGCCTTATTTCTCTTCAGGACTGCCATTCATTTTGCATGGGGCATGGTAGAGCCTCAGTGCCCTGGAAATGAGGGCATCTGTTTAAATTGGTGAATGAAACTGAGCTTAATGCTTGTTATTTTTAGGAAATAGCCTTCATTTTAATAATTTGAGAAGGTTAAAAAAAATCTCAAGGAACTGTTTTGTTCCATTAGTTTACCGAATGAAAATTAATATTTGATGATGAACTTCAGGGGAACTCAACTTTGTTGCCTAAGTAAGCTGTGAATTTAGGTTTTTGCGTCAATTTTGCTGCATGATTTCATCATAGTTTTTAAGCTTTAGTAACATCAGATGGCTTCATTCAAAAAGAAGACTTCTTTGAAATGATTTTAATTATGCCCTTTATGTGTTCTGTTTAAAGTAATCTAGCCTGTCATTGGTGGTATGGTGTTGTTTATCTTAGCTAGCACATTGCATTAAAAAGTCATGCCTTGGTAGTTCAGAATTTGTAAATTTCACCTTGCTGTGATCCATTGGTGTAGATTCTTGAAGTACCATAAGGATTTCAACTCCAGAGCCCATTCATAATATTAAATATCTTGGGAAAATGTATCGATGGAAGTTTTCCAGTTGCAGAATAGCTCCAAAATTAACTTAGGATCTCAAGATGAGAAGAGCTGTGCAGTTAAAAAATGCGAACATGGCTTAGAAGAGTTTTTTCAGGTATAAACGAACATCTTTACTGCATATTGTAGAAGCAGCACAAGGCATTAGCATTACAATATTGTTTATGTAGTACTTATATTCTATTTTCCACCAAGTTTTTCTGCTTTCCCATTGAACATAGAACTGTTAATTGATTTTATTTGCTTTCTTTTCCCCATATTCCCATTTTCAAAAAAAGTGTGTGGGAATTTTAGAATTTGTGTAACTCACTTGTTTGCTTCCACCTTGGGGGTGTGTGGATGATACTTCTTTCTCTTCAGTAGGGATATGTCCTCAGCACCAACTACTCCTCCATCAGTGGATAAAGTAGACGGATTTTCTCGGAAGTCCGTCAGAAAAGCCAGACAGAAGAGGTCGCAAAGTTCCTCACAGTTTAGGTCTCAAGGCAAGCCTATTGAGTTAACACCTCTGCCGCTGCTAAAAGGTAAGGCTCATGACCAGGTGATGGATTCCTTTTCAGTTGATCTTTTTATATCTGTATATAATTTTCTTTTTGTAAGTTCCATATTTGTTAAAATTCTTTGTTGCAAGTTGAAGGAATGGGAGACTTTTCAGACATGTTTAGACAAGTTACTGGTCTGTGACCAGGTATACCCACTCCCACTTTTAGAGGGCTCAATTGAACCTAAATAGCCATGGACAGATGAAAAAAACTTATTATCAGGAGTATCTCTCACAGTGATAAGTAGAAAAACTGAATACCACAGAAACTTTAAGATGTCTGGGTCTGGTGCTCGCTTCGGCAGCACATATACTAAGATGTCTGGGTCTGTGTTTTTCTTTTTTTCTTCTGTTGAGATTTAGATGTGTACATTGTATGCAATGACACCTATACAGTCTTAATCACAGGAAGTAGTAGAGGATATGGTACCATTAACTTACATATAGAAAAGGATACTTGAAATAATTCATTTTTTAAAATTGAGAAAAAATGGTCAGTGATTGATTACACGCATTCTTGTTTTCAGATAGTACAAACAGGAAATGGATTTGATGATCATTCTTGTGGAATTAATTATGGATAAGTTCTTATGAGAACTGTTTTTTTCTAAATTAGACTTTATTCTCAAAGGAATAAAAAAAACTTGGTTTCTTTTAAGCTCAAAGGAAATAAAAAACTTTGTTGCTAGTTAGTGAACATTTATTTCTATAATGATTTGTGAAATTGTTACAAAGGTAATATAAGAAAGGTATCATAAGAAAAGCTGGAGTGTGACTAGAAAATGTAGTGGAGGATATTTTAAGCTTCTGTTTTTCCCATATGAATTTATGCTTATGTTTTTCCCAGTATAAACTTGAAGCTGGTGGACATGAAATGAATATTGATTACTGTAGAGATGATATATGTACAGTTCATGAAGATTATCTCATATGAGTTTGGTGGAGAAAATTTTTGACTAAAGATTTTGCTGGTAAAAATGAAAATAGTCTTTATGAGATTTTGAAAGAAAAATGAAAGGAAAACTTGCTAGGGGTAAAAGTAACCATGCTTGAACTACAAAGTTGGGAGGTATATTGGGTTCTTTACTAATTTATTTAATCTGAAATGGACAGATGATAACTACTATCATCTCTGTCTGGCAGAGGACTTTATTCTGAGGAAGCAGTTTAAACTTTCTTAGAACAGATTTAAACTTTGTTATATTAATTTCTTGGGATCCATGGTAAATATTTAAATTGGAATCTAACTGACCACTCAGAGCCATGATGTTGGTTTTGTGAGTAGTGAAAGAGGCATGCATGGGGCAAATTTGGCACGTTTCAACGTGTTTCAATACTTTGTTGTTTCTTACCTTATTTAAAAAAATGTGGTAAAATATATATAACATAATATTGATCATTTTACCTATTTTTAAGTATGCATTAAGCATGGCATTTACCTTTGCATTGTGAAGGCATCCATTACCATCTCATATCTCTAGGACTTTTTCATCTTTGCCCAGCTGAAATCCTGTGTCCATTAAATAAATACTACCTCCCCATTACCTCTGCCCCTGACCTCTTTGCAGCCATCATTCTACTTTCTGTCTATGAATTTGAATACTCTAGATATCTTGTATAAGTGGAATCCTACAATATTTGTCTCTCTTGTGGTTGGCTTATCTTGCTTAGTGTAATGTCCTGAAGATTCATCCATGTTGCAGCACGTGTCAGAATTTCTTTCCTTTTTAAAGGCTGATTAATATTCCGTTACACGTACACACACACACAGTCACGCACACAAAACTTACTGTTTGTCCACCTTTTGGTTATTGAGAATAATGCTGCTGTGAACATGGGTGTGTAAATATCTGCTTGAGTCCCTGCTTTCACTTCTTTTGGGTATATACCCAGAAGTGGGATCACTAGGTCCTATGTTTAATTTTTTGAGTAATTGCCATGCTATTTTCCACAGCAGCTGCACCATTTTACATTCCTACCAGCAATGCCCAAGGCTTCTTCCAATTTCTACACATTCTCATTGACACTTGTTCTTTTCTTTTTTTGATAATAACAATCATAATGTGCATGAAGTGGTAGTTCATTGTGGCTTTTATTTCCCTAATGATTAGTGACACTGAGCATCTTTTCATGTGTTTATTGGCTATTTATATTTCTTTTTCTCATATTTTAAATGTAGTTGAGTAGTACTAAAAAATTTCCAAGATTTTTGCTCTCCAAAGATGTGATTTTTGTGAACTTGTATATTTTGCCAGCATAGGAGCATTGGAGAGCAACAAGATCATATAATACTAGATACATCTACAAGCCTAATTCCAGACAGACTAAAAGTGATTCTTGTGTAATAAGCATGTTTTGGGAAAATATATAGGAAGCATTCCATAAGTTAGATTTCCATATCTGTAGAATAACAAAGAAGTACAGTCATGTACAGACTATAGAAATGTGTGTATGTTCTTGATGATTATAGTGAATGTAGAGAGTTTGTTGAATGACATTTGTTGTCCTTACAATGGATTGACTTTTGTTTGTGTGCCTTCTTACAACTTTAGGAATATACTTTGGTTTATGAATATAATGAAAATGTAAGACGAATTTCTTTTCTTTTTTTTTGCCATTTCCTTAGGAAAAACCAGAATAAATTATATATGCATGCTAAAGGCTAGTTACTGATTTAATTTTCTATAGAATTGTTTTGACTAACTTGGAAGGCTTGAGTTAATTTTATTTGGGGGTGCAATATAAAGTGCAGTTGAATTTTGGGGGTTGCTTTAAAGAATAAAGTAAAAACATGTCCTTAAGGTCTTTAATTTTAAGGGAGTTTGAAAATGGAAATTGTATAAACATAGTAATTATGTAATAACATTTTTAATATATAATTTTTGAAAGCTCAAAAATTAGGTATTCATTAATGATGACTTATTTTGTGTGTTTGCCCTATTAAAATTTTTATTGTAGATGTCATAGTATTTGACTGACTTTAAGTAACACTACCATTATTGCTTAGTATTTTAAAAGTCTCTTTACTTGCAGAACTGTAAAAAAGCGAAAGGAAAATTTCATCTCTTTTGCTCTTTTTCTAATAGGTGGGGTTTTGAAATTTATATCAGTGATTTTATTTTCTGCAGAAAGCAGCACTGGCATGTAGTTCTGTCTGTGTTAATATATTAGAGTGACCTGGCTTTTCCTGCAATTGTGAAATTGCAGGATAGACCTTGACATATAGACATCTGAATTTTCTCCATGAAGTACTTCTGAAAGTATTTTCAGAAGGTCCTAAAGTTTTTAAGCTTGAAGGACTTTTCCTCATTTTCCTGATAAGGGAAATTCAGTAGAGGTTGAATGCCTTATGAGCTTCAGAAGAAAGTAAAGACTTTGATGCTTTCTGGGTTCCTGCACAGCAGGACATGAAGCAGACTTTGACAAGTACCTAGACCGAGATAAACACTTAGGCAGATACACACACACACCCATGAATAATAATTGCAATAATAATAATAACTTCTAGGAGCTATTATCTGGTTAGGTGGTTTATGTTCTCTACCCACTCCTTATTTCTTTCTCTTTTTAACTTTAAATGATTATATAAATTTAGATTTGAGGGAGGTGTTTTTGAAAACTACCACCTCTTTGAAAATGTGATTATAATGAAAGTGGCATCATTGTTGCCAGGCTCACAATTCATCATACATTTCTGAGACATTTTGCTTCTAGTTTGAACAGTGGGTATCAAACATTCCAAAAACTTTGATGCCTGGAGGTACTGTTCAGCAGAAAGAAACTGCTTCTTGATAGTGAAACCTTTAGATGGGTAACGTTTCTGTGACACTTAATTCTCTGCTTTTTTTTTTTTTTAACTTTAAGTTTATGATTCAGCATACATTTTTACTTTATAGGGTGACAGCTTGTAAGGACTTAAATAATTTCAAGTTAAAACTAATTTTTGTGCTTTTGAAATTGTTAGATGGGATAATTCCTCTCTTTCATTTGTATCTGGTTTGTATAGTGTATAGGAAAATGCAAATGGAATTCCCAGTTCTTATAATGGACTAGGTCTCTAAACTGTATTTATGATGAGAATGATCGCCTGAGAAATAGTGTCCTTGATTTTAGGTTTCACCTTCCTCCGTGGAGGTTACGCTGCAGTGTTGCATGGGAGGAGGTACAGAGGCTTTGTTTCCTGCAAGAGTTCTAGCTAACTTCTAGCTTTGTTGCCCAGGGCAAGTGAGTTAACTTCAGAAAGCTTGGTTTCCATATCTATCATATAATGAGAATAAAAATCAAGAGATATGGCAGTACCAAATCCAATGCATTACTAACTAGTGTCATTTAACTGAGGTTTCAGAAGTTAGAATATGAATAATGTGAAATTATTATTTGACCTTTTCTATTTTTGCAGCAAAAAGTTGAAACGGGAAATTTCTCTGAAAATTAGGAAACAAGAGCATAGTTTTGTGGTCTTGAACCTCTTTCAGCCCCCAAATATGAAGAAACAGTGTGCAAATATGTTGAATTTAGTAGACTAGTTATTTTAAATATCTTTATTTGGAGATTTTTTTTACCTTCTGCATTGGTATCCTGCCACCTATTTGAGTGTAATGCTTTTTTATTTTTAACTTACTAGTGTTTTTAATAGAGTTACGTGGTTCAAATTTGAAAAATACAAAAAGATATGTAATGAAAAGTCTTCCTTCCAAGTTGGTTTTCCTAATTAGTTCCCCTTCCCAGAAACAGGCAGCCAGAATATACTTGTATTGTAGGTGTAGGCATTTTTAAACCCTTGATTTAATTTGAAATGCCCTGAGCAGACTGAAATTATATGCACATTTTGTATGCATATGTCCATTTTTTTTTAAATGGGAGAATTTTATAGCATTTTTCAAATTCTTGAAGGGGTATTGGAATCAAAAAAGGTTAAGAACCATTGATCTAGTGATTTAGTTTGTACTTTAGATTAGTGATGTATTTTCTTTTTCATTATGG